TTGCATCTAGAACTCAACTGATGGAGCGTGGATGGCTGGGACTGAGGAGACAAAACCCATTCAAATGAAGGAAGACGTTTGACCCTGAGATGTAACCTGCTGAGATTTGACGGCTTGCTCTGGCCTAAGCTTTCCTGTGGATGCAGATGGCCACAATGCCAACCGGGAATGAAGATGCTTCACATCAAGAAACATTCTTGTCTCTTCCGAGGACTGAGTTGCTGGGATGGGCAAGTTTGGGAAACTAACACTGAGGGAACTAGGATGAGGACTCTGTTCCCTAACTCATCACAGAGGGAATCAGGAAAGCTGGAATTCCACGGTAGGAAAGCCTTCACTTTGGTAAGTTAGAGGTAAAGTCCAAGTACATTATCCTGCTTTAAAAATCATTTCCACAGATTCTCCCCTTAACAGCTCTGCTGCCTTAAAGTGAGCACATGGTGGATTCGATCTCCCTGTAGAAGCAGACATGATCCTTCTCTCTCTTCCCCTCCTTGTACCTTCCCCCAATTTAGGTCTGAGGTTTCCTCACCTGTGAGCTCAGGGACCTTAATGGAGATGTCATCCACCTAGTGAAACATGTAACAACTGGATATGCATGTCATATGGCTACCTATAAATGTCCCAAGATAGTATAGGGGCCCTCTTCCTTATCCCAGTTCCACGTGGTCCATCAAGAGAAGATGAGGTGAGCAGGCTACCATAAAATATATCTGACTCCTTTATTTTATACTCCCCATATTTCTAATCCTCGATGACTTTACTATCATCTTTATAGATTATCACCTTACAACTGCGCCTCCTGACAATTCGGTTGTTGGAGTCTGGTTTCCTCTGACAGGCAAGTTAGAAAATAGTTTTCTAGAATGAAGGGAGATCCAGACAAGCAATGGCTGACCTTTGAGCTTTTATGGGTGTGTTCATAGTAACATGATTAAGAGGGGAGCTAATCCTTCACGTATAAACAGGCAATGGCTAGAAAGGCCGGTGGGTGGCCTGCAATGAAATAAACCAGACCTTACTTGCTTAATACTATAGTATATGTGAAATGGCCCTTCTACCCATCACCTACAGGCTTTGTAATGCCTACCACATGACTGAGTGGGACTGTGGCTCACCAATCCTGTTCATAAGAAAATGAGGCAAGGAAGGGGAAAACCGAGGACCTAATGCTGGGGGCTTAAGTGGAGAGCAAATGTTTTGAGAATGATGAGGGCAATGAATATACAAATGCGCTTTACACAATTGATGTATGGATGGATTGTGATAAGAGTTGTATGAGCCCCTAATAAAATGATTTAAAAAAAAGAAAATGAGGTGGCTGGCACCCTTGTGTGAGTGGGACCATGAAAATAAGGTAGAGGGAAAGCCTAGTGAGGAGATTGGTCAGTTATTATTATTATTTTTTAATCCATCTAGGCTTTAAAAAGCCACTTGTAAAGTAGAAGGAAAACTTAACTACCAGATATGGGAGCAGTGTGTCCTGTGAATGCAGAGTCCTTGCACCGGGAACCTTCTAGAACTACGTGTCCTCAAACTACGGCCTGTGGGCCACATGCAGCCCACCGAGGACATTTATCCGGCCCGCCGGGTGTTTTTGCCCCGTTTGTTTTTTGACTTCAAAATAAGATATGTGCAGTGTGCATAGGAGTTTGTTCATAGTTTTTTTTCAAACTATAGTCTGGCTCTCCAACGGGTCTGAGCGAGAGTGAACTGTTTAAAAAGTTTGAGGACCCCTGCTCTAGACCCAGGAGACAACGGTAACCAGGGAGATGATGGGAGAAGACACGCAGCAGCCTGAGAAATGGAAGGGGCAGAAACGCAGACCCTGGAGTCAGCGAAGGTTTCAGGCCCTCAAGCAAGAGAGCTGAGTGGCTTCAGACTGGAAGCTGGCTAAACCGTGCAGGGCACCTCGGAGCGTGGAAAAGCGCTTAGGTAGCTGACCCACGGGAAAAGTGGGCACACCATCAAGCCTACTGATGGGGGGGAGGTACCTCTGGGCACTTACTGGCTCAGCTAGAGAACTTCATAACACTTGCCCAAGTCGGTAGAGACCAGGGCAGCCCCACGAGAGGAGAAGAGGCTCTTCAGATTAAAGAGCTGAATCCTGAGTTATTTGTGATTCTGAATTGTAACCTGTCCTCTTCCTAAGAGTCTCCTGAACTGGAGGATGGTCTGTGAGTTCTGGGTGGGCACCGCAACGACTGACTGAGCCCGGCAGACTAGGTAGAGGACTTTTGGGAAAGGTAGCTGTTGTCAGAAGTGGTAAAAGGTCAGAACAGTGGTTCTCAACCTTCCTAATGCCACAACCCTTTAATACAGTTCCTCA